GGGGGTCGTTCGGCGGATTTTTTTTTTTTTTTTTAAAAAGGAGGCGAGTCTCTCCGGAGCGGAGATGGAGGAGTGGAGGCAATGCGGCCGGTGGTTGATAGACTGCAAGGTCCTGCCCGCGAACCACCGGGTCGTGTGGCCCACCTCGGGCGTGTTCGACCTGGCCCAGGCTCTGAGGGACGGGGTGCTCCTGTGCCAGATGTTGCACAACCTCTCCCCCGGATCAGTGGATCTGAAGGAGATCAACTTCAGACCCCAGATGTCACAGGTGAGCTGACCTCTGTGCAAAGTTCACACAAACGCAAACAATGTTGGGTTTTTTATTTTTATTTTTTTTGCACCAGCAGGTTTGTTTTTTTCTCTCTGTCCTGAGCTGCTTTCTAACAACAACCCTGATTCCTCTCTGACATACCTGTGCAGTGCTTGGACAGATGCTAGATGTGTSATTTATAGGCTAAGTCATGGTTTTGCTCAGGTTTATCACACAATGAAGTGACACCTCCCATGCAGGTGGTGGTCTCTACTCACTAAAAACTGCTGGGTTAAAAATGCAAATTTGAACCCAATCGCGGGTCAAATTTGGACCGAGCCTACTGGTTTTTTTTTATAACTCGCCTGGGTTTGTTTATCAATTTGACCCATAATAAACCAACAGTAGACTTTACTAAATGAAGAAGTGCTTTCCAGGAGCTGCTATGTTGTCTCTTTGGACCCARCAGATGACCTATGATGCTTTTAAATCCTTCTTTTTCACGTTAAAATCCTTCAGCAGGGGTCTATATAAATTGGAATGGCAATGCTTTGAAATCCTCATTATTGTAACTCCATAAACCCCTCTTTCACCCCTCTTTTGAGTTGTGTCTCAGATCGACTCGTTTTGAGGCCGTCTCTTTAAATCCAAGTTTTTAAAGTGCCCGTGACATGCATTTTTCAAAATAAATTTAAAGGCATTGTTGGAAAGACAACATTATTGGCATATTGCAAAAATAATTTCYCGCTGCTGAGATGAACAGTTATAGAGATATTGGCATGCGAAGGAACAGGAAGTGATGTCAAAGGGGAATATCTGCGTGGAACAAAGCATTGATAAAACAGCTGATGACACAGATTGTTGAGAAGAATCAGATGTTTCTTTAGATTATTTTGTGTCACTATCAGAGAGAGATGAAGACGAGTCAGAGTTCAAATAATATTGTTTCAATAAACAAAGACCAGAGTTTTCTTTCTTAAAAAGTTCCCCCTTGATGTCACTTCCTGTTGCACTTTGGCTGAGCCAAGTTCAAAAGAAAATATGCCATTTATGTGACAAAATGGGTAAAATTACATGTTTTATGCAAGGTTTCTTATATAAAAATATGTTTTCTTTGACGTTTTGTATTTGACGGATAGGCATGTTACAGGCACTTTTAAGTTCAGACCATATTTGGCAGTTCTGTTTCAAATAATTTGACGTGATAGTTCATAAAACATCATAGAAAATGGAGAATCTCATGAGAAACATGACCCAGACAGAATATAAAGACATCTACGCAACACTGGGAGAAACTACATTAATATTTTTGCCTCCTAGTGACTCAAAGTCCACAACAAAAATGTATTTACTTGCTAAAAACTGAATTTTGCAGGATATGTCCCCTTTAAGGCTTGCCTAATTGTTTAACCCTGTGAGTTAAAAAAATAACCCAGCAGTTTTTAATGTGTGAAAGCCTCATATCTCTAGTTTGCATCAAAATATTTCTCGTATTGCATATTCTTGCACGTGTGCAGTGTAGGTCTGATTGTTTTGCTCCATCTTCCTGGAGTCAGTGAAGTGGTCATTGCTGCAGGGGTCTTAATTGAACATTTTCACTGATGTTGAACTGAGCAAAGAGAGAAAGATCCAAAAAAAAGAGAGGAAATAAATCATTTACACAGTCTCGGTTGAATAATCGACCCTGAGGTGGATCAGCTCAGCTATTTCCCCTAAAAAAGAAAATTCAGATCATTAAACATTAAACAGAACTCAGGGTTTTGCAAACTCACATCCTGTTGAAAGAAAAGACAATAAATCAGATGGTGTTAAGAAATTTAGGCAAAAGTCTTGCTGGATTTAGCAAGTCTTTATCCAATTACTTCCAAAGTTATATTATTTTCCAAGGTGCCAATTATAGAACTCTCTGTGCATTGTTGCCCAAATCAAATTCTGGAAGTGGTCATTCAACTAGATCTGTTACAAAAGGACAACTGATATTACCAACTTTTAAAAACTGTTACGGCCAGAGGTCTTTCTTCTATGTTTATACTAAAGCATGGAATGACATTCCTCAAAACATAAAGTCCATTTCAAAACYACAGCCCTTTAAGAAGAATCTTGTCTGCCATCTGCTGGACACTTTTTGTTGTGCTCATATTTAGACATCTTATATTGCAAATGCTGCCTTCCTGAAATTTGGTATGCTTTTTTGTCTTTGTGTCTATGGTGTAATAATAGTGATGTGATTGTGATGCTGTAATTCTGAGTGTTTTATGTGCTGCAGAACAGGAACCTGCTGTAAAACAGCAATTATGCTGAGTCGGGCTTGATTTTTAATAATCTTTTCCTGTTGAATMAATAAATYAAATCAAATCAATCATTTAGCATTATGTTTGCTGCTAATGCACCTTCGTAGCATCATTTCTCTTTATTTGGCTGCAAGAATCTGAACGATCATGAGCAAAGTGTTGGTGCCAATGATTCTCAAAAAAAAAAAAATGTTGTTCAACTTGTGGGTTCAGCAGCAATTTCACTATTAGCATTGTAGATGGTTTTGTTGGAAGTTTATCCTTCGCTTCAGCTTTTTTTAGGTTTCCAAAAACACTACGAGGAAGTGTTCGCCACGGGAAGTTCGCTTGACCACAGCAATGAAGTAAAAGTGCACTGTGGTAAATGTTTGTGGTTTCATTAGCTGAGGTTGTTTTTTTTTTTCCTCGCTGAATGTCCCATACGTCTGAGAATTTGTGATGAGACTGAATCAAAGTTGTCAGCRTGATTTACATATTTCTGGTTATTGGGTGGAATCGTCTGTCACACAGAAGCCAGCGTGTTTGTCTGACATTCTTGGCACACCTTCACTGACCTGTTTCTGTCACAACAATGTGTGAATGTATGTCTGTCTGCATGTGACAGGTGTCTCTTTTTTTTTCTTCTCCATGTTTTACTTAAGAGGCGAAAAGCTGTTTTCTTTAGCCTGATCAGTCCTGGATTCTGGTAACAACCTTTATGGACAGAACTTATTGTAGCAGCAGGGAGAGGGAAGAGGTTCTGTTTAGGGCTGCATGATACTGCAAAAAGCTGACATGGCAATTTTTATTTATATATATATATCGCAAAATGAAATGTTTTTTTGGTCTGTATTTGAGAATTTTTCTTATCTTTTATTGTGTGGGTATGTTTCACTCTTCAATGCAAACATGAATTGCATTTTACTTCCTAATTCCCAATCTGTGTCCATCTTTGTTTCTGTCACGTTTTTTTAATATTAGCATTCGTGCTAAACCGTATTTTGTTTTTGTCAAGATCCTTGTCGACTTCCTCCACAGCTCAGGAATTCACCAACAACAGTTGTCTGAAAAATGTTGTTCTTGCAGAAATTTCACAACAAAATTAAAATTTATTTATTTATTTTTACACCCAGCTCCTCAYAGCCACTTCCCTTCAAGTCAAAATAAAACACACGCTGCTGTTTAGTACAAGGACTTAAAGTGCCCGTGACATCAAATTTTTGCTATAAATATGAAAGCATTTTTGGAAGGATAACTATGATGACATATTGCAAAAAAAAATTCACGCTGCTGAGATGAACAATTTATGAATTATTAGCATGTGAAGTGACAGGAAGTGATGTCGTAAAGGTAATGTGCTTGTGTGAACAGAGCAGTGCTAGAGAAGAATCTGATGTTCTTTAGACCATTTTACGTCACTTTCAAGGAGAGATGAAGAAGAGTCAGAGTTCAAATAACATTCTTTCAATAAATAAACACCAGGGAGTTCATTTTTCCTAAATAATCCCCTCATGATGTCACTTCCTGTCACTTCACATGCTAATATTTCGTCAATTTTTCATCTCAGTGCCTTGTATTCCATTTGGTCAAATTCAAAAGATAATATGCCAGTTATGAACACAAAGTGTGTGTATATACCAATTTTCTTAAATATTTTTATTTATTTTATTTACCATTATTTAATTAATTTTATTTATATAAAGATGTTTTCTTTGACTTTTTTTTGAAGGATATTCACGTCACAGGCACTGGCTTACATGTTGATTTGTGACTGTTGCTCACACGTCCATCGTGATGGTGACGCTCAAATGGTATATTTTGCAGCTTTAGTTCTATTTGGTGACTTCAGGTCTCACTATCTTAGTCTCATCCCTTCTCTTTTGCTTGGTAACCAACAGTAGCCTGAACCTCTCMGGCTCAGAAGCCACTGATTTTCCTGATTACAAGGCTGCAGGGAGGACTGCATGGCATCCTTTGATCCGCCCACTAATTGTGCTCCCCGGTCCTTCAGAGTAAATCTGCAGCGAGGGTGGAAGTGATGTCCGCAGTGACAAATTGGGTTAAACAAAGCTCTGGCAGCAGAACAGTAGGGTGTGATTTATGATAAGGAAAAGGTCAGAGTGCGTGTGTTTGTGCTTTTTAATACTGCCAGCTTTAATGGCTTAGCCAAAGGAGGAAGAGGTGAAGCAGAGCAATTACGTTATTTGTTCTGGACTCTGCTGCTTTTCTTTTTTTTCTCCCATCAATGGACGTGATTGATGGTTTTCAAAATGAGTTTTGTCTCTGAATATTCATCTCTGCTAAACATTTAGTTACTGTGTCCTCAGATATGATGTAGGTAGGTGGTTGAAACGATGTGACCTAAATCACATTCTTTCAGACTAGCGTTGGGCAATATTGGCAAAATAATTAATCACGATTAACTGTAGTACCATATATTTCGGACTATAAGCCGCACCCGCCATTTTTTTAAAAAAAATCTGTGAACATTAACATATAAGCCGCACCGGACTATAAGCCGCACCCCCAACATTAAAAAAAAAAACAGTACACTCAAATTTGCCGTCAAAAAAGTGAATTCAACATCAAAACATAAAAAGCAAACCTTTAGGAATTAAAATTCGGAGGAATACGGTTCATTTAACTGACCTTATTTTGGTATTTTTCTATCGCTGCTTCCTGGTACAACAGTCGGCTCTGGAAGCGATCGCCTTTTTTCTTTTTCTTTTTCCTTTTTTTGAAGCGAGT